GTGCCTGGGTTGGATCCATTAAAGACATCCTAGCATCTTGCTACAGGCGTCAGCTTCCCAAATAGATCAAATAAGAAACTTGACAAGATTGTAATTCTGTTTTATTGTAGGCTACATTAATATAATCTTGCAAACTGAAAATACATATCTCCCACAATCTCTTTTTACCATCTGATAAGATAGATGGTTCCTTTCTAAGTTTCTTTTTTTGCTGTTATTCAGTTCTGGGTGCCCTTCACCTTTTATTTGGTTCTTCTCTAGTTAGCATCTCTTGCCCTTGCTTCCCAAGATCATTCTCATGTACCATTACAGCAGGGGATAGGCACGTAAAACTCCAAGACTAATACAGTACAAAGTGGTCAGTCTAGGATAAGAGGGCTATGGCTGCCATGGTGATCATGAACTCCTGAGACACTTTTGTTTCCATGCCCAAATAAGATAGCTTGAAGTTTCCCAAGTTTGTAAGTGTGGACAACTCCACCAACAGCCTAACTAAGGCATTCAGCTCAGGGTAGGAAGATATTTACATTGCCATGAGGTTGACACAGTTACAACTATCCCATCTCATCCTTAGAATCCAACTCCAGAATATAGGGAATTGCATCTGGTTATCTGCAGAGAGTCTCTTGGAAAACTAAAGCCATCCTCTCACCCTTGTCCTTAGATAGTGGCTCATTTTACACCCAAAATCTGAGTAGCCACATTTTCTAGAGAGGCACTTCCCCTATGTCCACCAGCTCTCAACAAAACCTAGTAAGGTCTCTTGTCCACAAACAAGGCAGGTAGTCGACCAGGAATTAAGTAGCAGTAGCAGCAGGCCTAAGGCCCAATGACCAGGCAAATTGTCCAGGCAGGTGAAACACCAAATCAGTACTAAAAAAACCACACTTTTACCTAACCACTTTGAACACTGGCATGAATTGGTTTCCATAAAGTACTGTACACCTGTTTTTGTCTGAACATGGGGGAAAGTTGTACACCAGTGTTTCTCAAACTTGGCAATTTTAAAATATAATTGGGCTCTGACCATAGAAGGAAAAAACTGAGAAAATAGTGCTGCATGTATGTAATTAATATAATAAAAGTTCTTATTCCCTGTCACAGAAGTAAATCTCACTGTCAACCAATCGATTATGATCAAAATAAAGACAAGACAAAACACTTTTTAGTAAAATATCTATGCAATTTGCTATTCATTCTCAAACAATATGAAAATGATAAATAGTAAGGCTGACAAACAAGCAAGCATCATGGAAGATACAGATGTACCAACTATTTTAGGTACCAAGATATATATTCCAGAAATATCTGATTGGTTACTGTTGAAAACAGAGGCACCACCTGTTTGTTCCATTATTGTGGTATTAGTGGTCATTTCTTTCTTGCAAGCACCTCAGAGTTGTCACACTATCAAATCAAAGAATGAAGAACAGTTCTCCTACCAGATTGCCCACATTCAATACATTGTTGAACTCTTCGGTCATTGGGTAGTGTTCCATGGCCATGAAGACAGTATTGAGGACGATGCAGATGGTGATCCCCAAATCAACAAAAGGGTCCATGACAATGAGCTTAACAATGTGTTTTAGCTTCACCCAAAGCGGGCAACAGTTCCATATTAACACAGCGTGGGCAAATTTATACCACCATGGTGGGCACTTCTGGTGTGCCTCTTCCAGTTCTAAAAACAAAAATCAAAAAGGATATCTACAACAAAATCATTTCCACTAGAGATATAAATCACAAATTATTGAGAGTGCTAACTTTAGCCAACTAATCAATGAGATTGATGGATGGATGGATGGATGGGTTGTTCCTCAAACTCACATTTAAAACAATATAGGATTACAACTTCTGTACTGTAATCTCCACCCATTCTTGAGGCGAAAATTATTCAAATTTGCTGGAATGAAATTTTTTAATCTCCTCATTATGTTGATCTGAGGTTGTTGGATCGTTGCACAAAAAAACCCAATAGAACTACAACAATTTTATATTTTAATATTGTGCTATCATGTGTGGATACCGTATAATATATAAGAGGGACACATTCTTCTATTATAGAATGTTACTGTAAAAGGCACAAGACTTATGGCAGAGGTCTATTCTCTTTCACAATTCTTTCATCAGCATGTCAAATGTTTCTGAAACTACTTGTTCATTCCTTACTGAAAAAAACTAGCAGTTTGTCCATTTCTAAGATTTCTAAGCTAAACATTATAGCCTTTTTCAAATAATCTAGTAAATTTATCTCTAATTCTTATACTATATTTCAGAACAATCTACAATACACTAAACATGAAAATATTATAAAAATAGCTGTTTTTAATTCAAAAGTAATCTAGTTTCTACCTAGTCAAGGCATTTACCTTCAAGAGTACTGGAGACCACACTGACTGCACTCCCTACTCGCTTCTCCAAACCCTTTCCCTCAACACCATCCACATACAAATGGTTTTGATCAGATTTCTCATGTTCTTCCCTTGGATTTGACTGTAATAAAAAATGAGATCCAGGATTAAAAAAAAAACAGTGACAAAAATGTAAATTTTTGAATAAAAAAGCCTCTATGGCCATTAGCATTAGAATCTGAAGTGACAGTTGAATTAGAGGTGTAATGACTAAAGAATTCAAGCTGTTTACTATGATATGACTCTAGTTAAAGGAAAGGTTAGGGCTAGGGAAATGATAGGATTCAGGTGGTTTGCACCAGTTCAGTAAAACCGGTACCTAATTTTTTGTTGAGTCCTGCAAATTGGTTAGACGTATTCCAGAAAATCTGTATTTTCCAGAACATGTCTGGTTTTCATTTCAACTTCCTTCCAGGTGGGGGAAAAAAACACTCCCCAAAAGTTCAAGAGAAGAGTGATGGAAACCTTTGATCACATCACTCAGGCAAAAACTGTCTCGGGCAGCAGGGACAGGGCCTACACATAAGACAACAGCCCTGGGCCAAAGCACAAGCGGAGCACAAGAGTATCATGGAGGGTCCTGGAGCAAGCTTCCTCTTCCCAGTCAGAGCTGGAATACCACCACGTTTAAGTGCCGGTAGATGCCAGCTTTCTCTTCGGCGGGCCTGGGCAGCTTCTGGAGAGAGATAGGCCTGTTTCAGCACCTGATGCCCAGATGTCCTCACTTTCCCCAAGAATTTCTTTGCCTATCTGATTTCCAGCTCTGCCATGTTTCTCTGTCGCATTTCTCACCATTGTGTGCAGGGAAACAAAAGTTTATGGGACTAAAAAAAAAAAGTTCAGTCAACTTCTCACAAAATAAATCTTGTGAAGTTGGAATTGATTGATTGAATTTTTTTTTAGTCCTGCGAACTTGTTTCACTGCACACGACGGCGAGAAATGCAACAGAGAAATGTAACAGAGCTGGAAATCAGGTAGGCAAAGAAATTATTGGGGGATGCAAGAGCATCTGAGGGATGGTGGGCGGGGCAAGCTCCATAGTGCAACGCTGCATTAGAGAAATAGAAAATGGAGCAGGCAGCGCAAGGGAAGGAGGCCGCTTTCCCTCTTTCTTCTCCCTGGTCCTCCTTCTTCCCTCATGCCAGCCACTCCGTTTCCCATTTCTCCACTGCAGCACAGCACCCAGGATCCACTTGGATAGTGGGGAGATAATTTAACAACCGGTTCACACAGGGTCATTGTGCGAGGATCGTCCTGCATTTACGTCACAGGTCAAAGACAGGAATAGGTTACACCTCCCACGATGGCCCACCTGACGCTGGGCAAACCAGTTAAATTACTTGAATCCCACCACGGGCTAGGGTAAGGATTAGGGTTAGAGTTCAAAAGTAACTATAACCAAGGAAGTCACTTTGTACCAGCAAAAAAAATATTGTTGATACTCCTTGAACTCTTTAAGAATTTCACTGTCCAGGTTTGCTAAGAAGTAAGCCATATCAAGTAACTACATCTTCAGTTGGTTAATTATTGATTTTTAAATTTATTATTGCTATATTTTCAGTGACAAAGGCAAAGAGACTTTCTGCCTCAAGCACCAAAACAATTCAGCTGTCTGAAAAAATGAAACCAGATTTGGATGGGGTAACATTTACTGCTCTGACTCCGACTTAGCAGAAAAGCTATCTTTACTACAAACTTTACTCCCCTACAACATCCTTCTGTTTTCACAACTATTTTTGCTAATCAGTGTTTCTTGCTGATTTCCAGTTACACTGGTATAGAAGTACAGAAAATGAAAAAGTCCTGTTTGCTGGACTCCTCACACATCTAGACAATTGGCTAACCCTATTTGGATTATATAATTTTCTCTAGCATCAGGATACAGATGACTGGAAGACGTTCCATGCAGAAATATGAGGGGAGGAGAGGGGGCAGGTCGAATGGGCCAAGATTTTAGTCCTTTCAAACACATGTGAAAGTCTGTAACTGTGAGAGACTGTCTATCTTTTGGGTTTAGCAATGCGGGCTGTCTCTAATTCAGATCACAGCCTTCATTTTTAGTCCAGCAATGTCATAAACATGCTACCTGGACTTGTCGTGAAAGCCGTGAAGTTGGCACTTACAGTCCATAGTTAATCTATTCTAGAAGTATCCACACATTAGCTTGTATCAATACAATTCTAATGAGGATTTCTAGAACTATTGAATGGGTAGCAAGCATTAAGTTTTTATCTTTGGTTCCTGGTCCATGGAGAACATACCTCACGTACTGTAGCTGATCTTTCCAACACCAAACGTGGGATAACTCGACCATTGCAATCTTTTGGTTCCTCTTGATCACTCTGAGCCTTTTCATCTAATTCTCCTTTTTTCTTTTTTTCTACTATAATGCTTTCTGCAGAACTGCTATTTGCTGCTTGAAGCTACAAAAAACAAAACAAAAAAAGATTTCGCATAAGAAAACCGGGAAAGGGCTGTTGATATGACTGAAATGGTGATTTGCTAACTTTTCCCTTGAATTTTGAATTTCCTTTGAATTTTGAAATCCAATGGTATGTATTTATGTTACTTATGATACTTTTTTCAACTCTTCTACTATTTGGTGCCTTTCAGTTATGCTGGTCAGCAATTTCCATTTGTCCCTAGCCAACAGGATAGCCAAGTCATTAAGACTGATGGAAGTAGTGATCCCACAAATCTCAAGGATGCAAGACAGGGAAGTAGAAATGTCTGTTTCTCTGAAAATTATTGTTGGAGAAGATGAGTGGGAGTAACAAATATGATGCTAGATATTCATACACTATAGCATTCTAAAGTATTCAAAGAATTGTGTAATTATCAACTCAGTAATATTTATAAAGCATTATAGCATATATTATTATTATTATTTTAAATTATTTGATTTCTAATGATAAAACAAGATATTTACGTTTACTGTAAATTTGCTTGTCAATATGCATTCCAACAAGTCGAGATAATTTGCCATTTAATAGTTATCTATATACTAATTTACCACAGAGCAATTTTCCACTGTTCAAGTGCAATCTGTTGGTGCCTTAAACAGCATCAAATAATAAATAATAATTTATTAAACTTGTAAATTGCGCAAATCTCAATGGCTCACAATAATCAAAAAAATTACAATCAAATCAATAAAAAATAAAAGATTGCAAGCATGACGAACAAGATAGAATGATGTATGCGATCTCATTCTCCTTCACCAAAGGGCTGGATAACGATTCATGTCTTCACTACCCTTCAACAACAGTAAAATCAGGTGATCCAGATCTTGTGGAGGAAATCTTGTTCTAGTGAGCCAGAGCTACTATAGTGAATGCCCACTTTCAAGGCCTCTATAGATGAAATTGTTCAAAAGAACCTGGATATGCCAAACCAGCAGATCAAATCAGACAGGGAGACATTATGGGAGATAAGCAGACTCTCAAATAATGGGACCCTACTATTCACACCACCTCATTTGGACCAGTTGAACTTTCTGGGTGGTCTTCAAGCATAGTGCATGTAGAGTGAGGTGACCACTGCATGAATGATTGGCTGAAGGGCCTTCCATCTAGGAAAGGGTACAACTGGTTTGGTGCAAAGGCCTTCTATGCTCTAAGGTAATCATGGAAAACCCATGACACACATTATCAAAGCTGATGTACCAGCCTTCACCAGCACCTGACAATAACTATTATTGAAAGCACAACCTATTCTTATGCAGTTTTCAGAGACCATGCAAGAATGGGGAGTGCTTTTCTGTGTCCTCTGGACCCTCTGGAAATTAATAAGAAAGCTGTGCCCTTGCACAATCTCCAGAGTCTCTGAAAATCATGCAAAAATGGGATATACTTTCATGAGGTTTTGGAGACTACAAAAGCTATGGAAGAGCATTTTCCAAAACTGCTCAAGAATGAAGGCCTCATGCAATATGGAGCTGCCTTGGACAGTTTTGGGGGCCAGTGAACAGAAATTGCCTGAAGATAAGCAGCAGCATATGACACATCCTGGGAATCACACACACAAACTGTTTTTTTAAATTAATAAATAGGGAAATAATTGTTTCTCTTTTGTTATGGGAAGAGTGACATGCCAGCAGTCATTCAATGTATGATGATGTTGATATATTGATTGTTTGAGCTGAGATTGTAGTGCTTTGTTGTCATGGATATCAGAGAATGGCTGGTAGTCCATGATTATTGGTACCAGCAACTCAGTTGTTAAGCAAAGCAGTTGCAATTAAAATCATGACTGAGTTTATCTTCAGCTTCCTTTTGCTTTATGACTTTTGTGAAGATTGTAAATGCAAGGACTAGTCATCATTGTTGTAATTGTGAACAGTTGGTGTGCAAGACAGTTGCTAAATGAGGATTACCAGCACTCCATTCTGTGTTCTTTAGAATGTTACATTTAATATTTATGCAGGAAATTTGTTAAAGGAATAAAGATATTACCTATAAATGTTCTATTTAAGAAACTCCAGGAAGCCAGTCCTGTTGGCAATCCTGTCAGTAAATTTGGCAAAGAGTCTGAGAAGCTGTGTCACTGTTCAGGAATGAAATAGTAAGCAAATTGCTGGCTCACAGTTGATGTTTAAAACTCTAAGGCAGCAACAGTGGGAAGAGGGAGTGTGCAATCATGTGTGTGTGTGTGTCTGTGTCTGTGTGTGTGATATAAAGATCAATTTCTCACAGACTTTGTACTAAAATAATAATAGTTAATGTCAAAAACTGGCATGATAAAGTAGCAACAATGGTGCATTGGAATATCTGCAAGAAATGCCATTTTCTTACAAGCAAGAATAGGTGGGACTACAAAATAGTAAATGTTGTGGAGCGATGGTAAGGAAGAGGCATGAGACCAGAGCGTACAACTAACAAGGCTTTATTGTAGGGAATAAAGGGTTGTCGCGTCTGCTTGCTAACTTGCAGACTAGCGGGCGACAATGGGCTGGCTCTGCCCGACAGCCGGCTTATATAGCTGACTGTCAAATGGAGCCAACCAATGGGAGCGGCTGGTGCTCCCGCTCAAACAGCGGACCTGGTTGGGAACCCCCACCAGTTCCACGGACATAACACT